CAATGTCATAATTCAAATGTTATGGATAGATCAATTTTGCACCTATAAATATCAATTGCCTCGTTTGACTTGATTTCCAAAACACTAAACTAACGCAATCTTTGATGATGTTTATTATTCAGGATATGTTATTGTACATTTTAATGTAATTTGTCGAAACATAGAAGCGTTTTGCACCAAGAGACATTAATAGCTTCGTTTGATTGGATTTTTTCAGCTCGATTTCACTCGATTACGGCTGACCGCGTCAGTAGGGTTAATATTTAAACTAAATATTCATATTTGAATTTGTAAGTACCATTTAGTCCCGCTTAACGACCGAGTTGGTATCATTTGGTATGTTACACATTGTAGCAAATATAACTTATAGATTTAATAGCTCTTATCTGTTATTCATAGCCTATTCTGTATAATCAACTATAATAATATCGGTGGGCAGTGGTCGATAGGGACCAACATGTTGTAGCCTGGACCAATCTGTTTTCACCAAGGTAAAAATCACTAACAATAACAATGATAATGTACTGTACTCGATATATAGTCAATCTGTTACATTGTTTTACATTGTATCATATCCAGTAACGCTTCTAGGAATCATTGGGTGAGGGACCGTCTCGGGGCCACAGAATTTCTAGTGGAGGCTAACAGGCAGTTCTTTCAATGAAGAATCAAAGTCTGTTTGGAACCCAATGCCTGGCCAGTCTCGTCCCCGCCTCCCCTCCCTCTCCGGAGAAACGCCACTCATCAATAGTTCCAACTCTGGTCAACCTCAAGGAAGTGGTCTTGGAACATCTTTCAGATTCAACTTTATAAACTGGCTTAACGCCAACTGGCATCCGATCTGAGAACCGTTCTACTTCTGACCCATCTCGCAAACTGGATCGCGGATTGGTTCAGACCTGAACACGGCCTAGTGTAAAAGAGGCTATTTTTTCCAAATTCTTACTAAAATTTATTAAAGTTTCTTTCACCTTTTAATAATGTTTCGAGAAATGCCAAACTCACACCGTTCGTTTTCGTCCGTACAGGTATGGATAAACCTTATTTTGATGAGCGTATTGAAGCGTTGGATCTGAAGTGACTTGACAATATGGCTGACTGGACAATGTTACAATATGAAAAAAATATGAAGTAGTCATAAATAATAAGTCGAATCATTGGGGCGAGACAACCTTTCAGTTAATAATATTGACATCCTACTGTTTTCATGGCCACATTTCTTTCTCAAGGACAGGTTTTTTATTAGCCTTATCAGTCTTAGTTTTGATGTGTTACGGGAACATTATTGAAGAGATCACAGTAAAAAATATTAAAAATCGTTTTAAATTTCAGCTGATATAAAAATTCGGCGTATAGTTTGTCTACAATTCGACATTAAATTTGTTTTAATATTCAGCTTACATAGATGACATCTAGTTCGTCTACAATTTTGAATTATTCCAGTTGAAGTTGCCTGGATGTTACTAATATTCCGAAACTTTCAGAATAACTGATGCCATAATGTTTTCAGAAAAATCGACAGTCAACTAGGACAAGTTAATTTGCACCTACGATTTTCATTCAGAACAGTGTTATGGATAACTGCAAAATACAACCCCTATTCTTTTGGAAGAGCTACAGCGTTTCTGAAACTCTTTTACACTTGGTTACCTGGTGAAAGGTTTAGGTAACTACTAACAACCTTCTACATGACTATCCGTATCGAATTTCCGGATTTCGGTTAACCTCTTTAAAAGATCGGCTTCCTCTCAGTTTCTACTTTCGTCTCTTTTCACGAAAAGGAAAATTTGTGAAACCTTTTTAAACTTGGTGATGTTGTCTACGGTTTATTTATTAGCCTCCTAATGACGTTTGAGTCGTCGGGTTTCGATTATGCTCCCCTTCATTCCGCATTCTCGACCGCACAATTTCTGATGCCCCTTACTGCCTGTTGTTCCAATCCTCCCAATGGTCAGAGGAATCCATTCAAAAAATAAAATGAACAAATATTTTATTTTCAATTTTTTTTTTTATTTTACAAATAGTTGTTTTGTTTGAAAATATAGATGAAGTATAATATATGATAAACAATGCACCAACAGAATAAATGTACAAACTAAAAATGGAGAAGACAGGTCACTTTCTTACATAAAATAATACATCTCTACCTAATAGAACATACCGTCCCCAAGATTAGAGACCTTACTCTCGAAAACATTAACATGATTTTAGTATTAAAGTCATCAGGGGCATAATTCTCAAAAACTTAACTTAAACTAAAACGAGTTTTTAAGAAATACTGTAAGCTGATTGGATAACAAAACGTGATTTAAAATCAATTTTAGTGATTGACCAATCAGATGACTGGAACTCTTAAATTATCTTAAAATATTCTTTATAATATTATAGTTAAATATTCAAGAATATGGCCTCTGATTGGTCAATCATTAGAATTGATTTTAAATTAAGTTTTATTATCCAATCAGCTTACTGTATTTCTTAAAATCTGAATTTTTTCATCAGTTTCAAGAATAATTTCCCTGTTAATATTTGAAGATTATTGTCGCAATTTTCTAAGAGCACACTTCATTCAAACAATTTATCATTAATAATAATAATCAATCTGTAGTCAATATCAGGTACAACCATAGAAAACTGTTTAAAGTTCGGAGTTTTACGCCGCCCTGCAAGCTAATTTAAAACAGTTACATATAACAAAGCTACTAAATATTCTTATTGATGCGAACACTCCAAATAAGTTCACAAACTCGTAATGATTGGAGTTTAAACTCAAAATCTGAACAACAGTTCCTATTGGCAAACATATCAAATAAATATTCTTAATTATGTAAACTCTCAAACTGAGTTCAGAAACATTCTGCTAGTTATACGGGCCAACAGGATACAAAAATTGACAATTGCATTTTCATTCTGGCAATTACTACCTTTTCCAACACCCTGCAGTGCAACTAAAATAGGGCAAATAGCAGTTAAGTGTTTTTAAATTTAGATTTTTATAACAAATAAATAATAACTCAGAATGTTTTCTGATGAAAAAAATAGAAGAAGTTGACAGTTTTTGTTTTTTTAGGTCATTAGAAATAAAATGGATAGATGTCAATTGCAACATTTCACTATATTAGCACTTCTATCAGTTACAAATACAAACAAGAAAACATCGAACAGGAGGCGTGAATCTACCTAGCTGAACCCACTTCCACATACAGGCAGTTTACAATCGCTTTTTAGACCGATTCCCGAAATCGATGGCCAAGGAAACAAGAAGATTTAACGCCAGAAATCAAAACGATTTGAACATTTTAACCTTGCAAAGATCTGAATTAAAAACATTATTAGCGTTTTGGAAAATCACCTTTTAATTTCCATTTCGAAAGCACAAGTCATGACATACTTCTGAATGTGGTGACTAAAAGACTCAGCGATGGTAATAACTTCATTTCAAATCTGCCAGAAGCAGATTTCGGTAAAAAAAAAACCCTCGTCAATGATTCAAGTTCGCCCTCGTGTTCGATGCTATAGCACAATTCTCTTAGAAAACAGACACAAAAATAAAAGAAAAACAAAAACAATCACACTAATGCAAATTATGGACTGAATTTCGGCCCTATTTCACTTTTTACCTCAACTAAAGGCTTCCCAAGTCTAAAAAGCTCCTCTGTTTGAGATGTCTCCCAGGTTAAAAAATTGAAATAGGATTAAATTCGTCCATAGGCACTCCGATGTCGATATAGCACTTCATGAATGAGAATAATAATATACAAATAACAAGCTACTTTCATTTAGAGTTCAAATAACGACCAAACAGCCAAAAAAGCAGTGTTGTATAGCAAATTTACGCATTGTTAATACGACATTTTGGCTTATTTGGTCGCTAATTTAGAACTCTTTTTCATTAGAGTTAAAAAATACCACCAAAAAGGCCAAAAGGCAATATTTTATAGCAAATTAACACACCACATTTTGTGGCTGTGTTTGGTGCATTATAGTCGTGCGTTCGAGTTCAAAATACAAAATATGACCAAACCACCAAAAGGCAGTGTTATAAAGCAACTTAAAGTATTGGTCAAACAACATTTTTGAAGATTTGATCAATAACAAGGAACCATTTCCGAAATAATCTTTTTACAACAGGCCATCTCAACCAAAATCAACTTCACTGCAGCAGTCCACTGTCATTATGATGTGCATTTTGACTCATTTTTAATCTCTTTCTAGAAACTTAGAGCCTCTCAATATAGGCACGTTTAGCGATGTTTATGTCTACCATTTACCTGAAAGCCGGAAAGTGTTTGGATGGTAACATGATTTTGAGTTAACAAAAAATTGAACATTTTTTTCAGAAGCTCAGAAGATAAATTGAAAATACACTCAATTAGCCTCAAATTCATAAAACTAACCCCTCGGGCGTGGTGCTATATGGAACCAACCCTTAAGGTCTACTGATACACTCAACTAGCCCGTGGGGTGATCCCCAGGGAGCCTACTGTACACACTGGCAATCGTACTAAATGATGTAAAGAGGTTTAATAAACTTTTATGTGTATCGGGGACTGTTAGCATCAATTTCCACCATTCTAAATTTAAATCAGACATCTGCGGTTCTTGCACAGGCGTCGCAAATACCCTTAGATAGATAATGCATAATTTTGCGATAGTGGCGACATAAAATACTTAGTTTGAGTGGAATTATAGGAGGTCTGATTGAAAATCAGAATGCAGCAAATCAAAGCAATGTTTCTGATACACATAAAAGTTTAGAAAATATCTTTTCAATGATGTATACGATGATGATGATAATGATAATGATGATGACGAAAATAACATTAAACCGGTAAATCCATTTTTAAAATGTCAATTCACTCGAGATTTGACCTTGACAGTTTTTCACCAGAGATCGTTTTTAAATAATGATTATTTTATATTAACAAAATATATTTTTCTCTCTTCTAGACTCTATTGTACAACATATAATGTAACTTTGTCGTTTCATTTTTCAATATGGCCACTTGAGCCCGCAGTTTCAGATTTTCTTGTTCTAAAAAGGCCGCTCTCATTGCAATTTCTTCTTCCTTCTGTCTGCGTGAATCTCTGGATCGTTTTGCTGCGTCGTTATTCTTGCGTCTGCGTTCCCAATACGAATCATCTTTTTTGTCGACTGGGACGGATTTTGCCTTTTTTGCTGCAGCACTGTCGGACTCTCTGCCGTCTTGGCGTCGTTTTCGTTGCAAAAAATGTGAAGTGAGAGGGGTGAGTGTTAGCCCGAGGGGTGAATCTATGGGTGTGGCCATATTGCCCATTCCTGGCATCCCGGGTAACCCTGCTGCTACTGACGGATTAAAACCTGCTGCTGATGCGGCCGCGGCACTGGCCATTAACGGATTTGAATATACACTGAACGGATCCATCGGATACATTTTGAATGGTCTTACTGGATTTACTCGATCCCCTGTGTCACATTTCTTTTCCTCCTCGCCACTCGAGTGCCCGGGGGAGGCGAGCGGGCTATGATTAGATCCCATACTGGTGTGTAACTGAGATGGTCCGACATCTTCACGATCACTCAATTGTTCGTCTCTCTGATCGTGCTCGGAACTTTCTGATCCGATTGACGCACGTCCGGAATCACTGCTACCTCCAAATTCATGATTTGGTTCCACGGATTCTATTTTTGGTTGCATCATTGCAGGTTTACTGCTCAAATCGAGTACCATGTCCGTCATGATGCTATCTGAAATGATACAAACAAACCATTAAAATCTGACAGAGAATTTCCAAAGAGTTCCACATATTCCTGCAGCATTTCAGGTAATGCTAAACCTTTCCAAAGCGTCATTCAGATTGATCAATGGGATGGGCGTTTAGTTTACAACATTAAGTAATAAAGACCAAATAATGATTTTGCAGACAAGTCTTCCATATTAAGCGTGGCTGATTTTAAAACGAAGTTTGGAGTAAGCCAAAATTCAATATCAATAGCGATATCTAGCAAATAATGATAAATAATTTCATGGTTTGGATTTCCATAATATATCATTTGAATTGGCACGTACCAAAGATCATGCAGTCCATTTATATCCAGATTTTTACGAACAATGTATAAACCTATCCGTCAATCCTTACTACATAAACAATATCAACATCCAACAACATACAGAATAAAGACTATAGTAATTGCGATATCGTTGACAGTGCAAGATCATTAGACCACATCAATACCTATTGATTCATTCAATCTAACATCTCGCTCTGATACAGCGTGAAATTACCTTAGGAAGTCATGGATGCAACATTGTTAGACAAAGTAACAATATTATGCATAATATTGTAATCACGGATATGATAATATGGATATATTATTGTATTTCATTATAATATATTATAATAATATCAGTAAACATATTGCCTCATCATTATGATATCACTGGCTTAGGTCACAAAGTAACGATTTTTGATAAAACAAAGTGCAAAAGTTAAAAATTTCTGAAAGTTAATTATGCATAGTTCATATTAAAGTAATATCATTCCTCTTGGTAAAATTGGTGTAATAAAAAGCACAGGCGTAGGTCATGAACTATATATTTCTAAGTGCTGTCAAATCTGGCTTTCATTCATTCGTTTTATTCACCTTTCTTGATTTATTTATTAACATATTCATTCATTTCACTGATTATTTATTCAATTTTATATTACTATAGTTTAGTAGTACGCAATCATTCGATTTTCAAGTATAGAATCTTTAAACTGCAAGGAATTCCACAATACACACAGTATTTTCAATTCATGCATTTTAATTCAATTTTGATACAAAAACCAAAATCTCTATGTAATTTTTTGTTTTTGATTAGATTAAGCAATAAGTACGGTATTTCAATAACTAGCAATCACACAATGACAAATTGTCCAAAATCTGAAAATAATAGCACGAAATGCGCTACCTGCTACTCTAGTTATGATGCATAAATATATCTAACTAACAGAGTGGTGCCATACCGAGAAGAAAGTCGAGTTTAAATATCATTTAATATCAAATATACACTATTAGCTATATGGACTCTCCAAAGGGGATCCTGAGTTGAAAATTATGAGGCATCATGTGTTCGATAATGGAGGTTATTAGCATTATATAATTGAATTTTGGATATACTTGTGAAACGCGAAAATATCATGAATGGAATTTATCAAAGAATTTCTCAGATAATGATGCCCAAATATAGTACATTTTGTTTTTTTGAAAATATATATATTACGTCAGAGTTGCATTATATCAATGTCTAAATTAGAAAGACCACTACATAAATATCTTTCAAACAAAATTCAAAAATCAAAATCGAAATTTAAAAAAAAGGACAAAAACAGATTACGTCATATACTACAGAGACCATAAAAAACATAATGTGCAAAACTGGAGGAAAACGAAAATAACTACGCTATTCCGTTTACTATATACAGTTGAATATCCTGGTAATATCGAACGTTATCACTCCATCACCAAAACTAGAAATTCCCAGGTCAGAGTCACCATGACCCTATGTACAGTAACCTTACCAAAAATTACAAACGTAAAAAAAAAAAAAACGAAAATCCAGAAATTAAAAAAAAACAATAGTAATACACAAGCCTACCTTTAGTAGAATACTGCTAAATCAAAATATACAAAAAATATAATAATCCAAAATGCGTTAAGATTTTCATAAAGCCAGAAGGCCAATAATGTATAAAAATGACTACTCGATGACCGTTGCCTTCACAACTCGTAACTTAGACTGATGTGGTCAGTCTGCTGACCGTGGCTTATACATGTTTGCAATGGCAATGATTGAACTCTATTTGACCCGTTTGCACAACAACTGCATAAAGCGCCGTGCGATGACGTTGAGCTAGTATGGTATGGCTATTTTTATGATCTGGCTGTTACGACTTGCTCTAACCTTATTGGATAATAAGCGATGGTCAGTCGCGCAATTTTAAGTAACATTTCCCACTGATAATTGCATAAGATCTCAACACGATTGTTTGCCAGGCATAATAGTCACGAAATACGCTAGTTTCAGAAGCGGCGTTGTTTTTTTCTCTTCAAGTCTGGTATTGTTTTGATGGTCTGGGGTCATCTTGACCCGATCTCTTCACCAGCTCGATAAACACAGTAGTAAAATATATAGAACCGGTCATTTGACGGTATTTATTGTACAAATAAAGGAACATTATAGACTTTTCTTGATATTTTCGGGTTTATTAGCAAATTTTGTTAACATTACGAAAATGGAAAGGGAAATTTCTTTTCGGGGCCATAGAGAATTTTTACAAAAAATAAACACAGTAATAAAATATATAGAACCGGTCATTTGACGGTATTTATTGTACAAATAAAGGAACATTATAGACTTTTCTTGATATTTTCGGGTTTATTAGCAAATTTTGTTAACATTACGAAAATGGAAAGGGAAATTTCTTTTCGGGGCCATAGAGAATTTTTACAAAAAATAAACACAGTAATAAAATATATAGAACCGGTCATTTGACGGTATTTATTGTACAAATAAAGGAACATTATAGACTTTTCTTGATATTTTCGGGTTTATTAGCAAATTTTGTTAACATTACGAAAATGGAAAGGGAAATTTCTTTTCGGGGCCATAGAGAATTTTTACAAAAAATAAACACAGTAATAAAATATATAGAACCGGTCATTTGACGGTATTTATTGTACAAATAAAGGAACATTATAGACTTTTCTTGATATTTTCGGGTTTATTAGCAAATTTTGTTAACATTACGAAAATGGAAAGGGAAATTTCTTTTCGGGGCCATAGAGAATTTTTACAAAAAATAAACACAGTAATAAAATATATAGAACCGGTCATTTGACGGTATTTATTGTACAAATAAAGGAACATTATAGACTTTTCTTGATATTTTCGGGTTTATTAGCAAATTTTGTTAACATTACGAAAATGGACAGGGAAATTTCTTTTCGGGGCCATAGAGAATTTTTACAAAAAATAAACACAGTAATAAAATATATAGAACCGGTCATTTGACGGTATTTATTGTACAAATAAAGGAACATTATAGACTTTTCTTGATATTTTCGGGTTTATTAGCAAATTTTGTTAACATTACGAAAATGGAAAGGGAAATTTCTTTTCGGGGCCATAGAGAATTTTTACAAAAAATAAACACAGTAATAAAATATATAGAACCGGTCATTTGACGGTATTTATTGTACAAATAAAGGAACATTATAGACTTTTCTTGATATTTTCGGGTTTATTAGCAAATTTTGTTAACATTACGAAAATGGAAAGGGAAATTTCTTTTCGGGGCCATAGAGAATTTTTACAAAAAATAAACACAGTAATAAAATATATAGAACCGGTCATTTGACGGTATTTATTGTACAAATAAAGGAACATTATAGACTTTTCTTGATATTTTCGGGTTTATTAGCAAATTTTGTTAACATTACGAAAATGGAAAGGGAAATTTCTTTTCGGGGCCATAGAGAATTTTTACAAAAAATAAACACAGTAATAAAATATATAGAACCGGTCATTTGACGGTATTTATTGTACAAATAAAGGAACATTATAGACTTTTCTTGATATTTTCGGGTTTATTAGCAAATTTTGTTAACATTACGAAAATGGAAAGGGAAATTTCTTTTCGGGGCCATAGAGAATTTTTACAAAAAATAAACACAGTAATAAAATATATAGAACCGGTCATTTGACGGTATTTATTGTACAAATAAAGGAACATTATAGACTTTTCTTGATATTTTCGGGTTTATTAGCAAATTTTGTTAACATTACGAAAATGGAAAGGGAAATTTCTTTTCGGGGCCATAGAGAATTTTTACAAAAAATAAACACAGTAATAAAATATATAGAACCGGTCATTTGACGGTATTTATTGTACAAATAAAGGAACATTATAGACTTTTCTTGATATTTTCGGGTTTATTAGCAAATTTTGTTAACATTACGAAAATGGAAAGGGAAATTTCTTTTCGGGGCCATAGAGAATTTTTACAAAAAATAAACACAGTAATAAAATATATAGAACCGGTCATTTGACGGTATTTATTGTACAAATAAAGGAACATTATAGACTTTTCTTGATATTTTCGGGT